AACATCGGCGTATACTCCACAACCCCCGACAGTGTCCGTAAAGCGCTTCTTCAATTCCGCTGCCGAAGGTGTCGGTCTTTCCCACAATTCCGAGAAGGCGATGAGGGAGGACAACAACTCGGAGCTCTCATCGCTAGGATCCGGATCAAAGAGACCTGTATCCGATAAATTGTTAATGTATGTCGTCAAGATGTCCACATCATGGGGTTGACAGCGCTTGAGGCGGTACACAAACTGAGGAATTGTCATGTACAACGATGGAGTCATCATCAGAGAGGATACAAGTTTTCGCAATTTGTGGGAGGCTGGCCAGTTTTGATTCATGATGTTCACGGTGTTTATTATTTCAAAACACGCTGAATCCGGTTGCTTGTCGAAAGCGGTCAAAATATCTTGAAATACAGCAATTAATGTATCCGGTTTCTTAAAGTGGGAGCTGCAGACAAGGTCGTGATCGCAGCGTTCCATAAGGGTTCTTACCACGTTGTCAACGATGTCATCGATAATAATTATATACTCCCGTGGTGCTTTCAGGCGAATCTAGAATGTATCCAGTAACTTCAGGAGGGGCGAGATGCATGAGACGTACCACTAATAACGCTTCGTAATCCGAACCATACACAAAAGTGCTAGCGCCATTTGAAAGCTTGGAGATCAAATTGAAAAGGTCATGCGCCGCACTCGTAGGCGAAAATGCCGCGAGATCTCCAAACTTGGATTCTAGATCTATGGCACATGTCCCAACTTGGGCAGGATCCATTCTATATTCAAAATTTGGATCACGTGTTGTCACTCCACAATCTAAAATCGTACTCTTCCTGCTTCCACGAGGATCCATCAAATAGAGGTTTGCAGTTGTGTTTAGTTCGGAATATAGTATGAGCGCAGTTAATTCCTCTACGTATATACAAAGTGTTAATGGTTTAGCAATGAAGCTAGCCATTTAATTATGAAAGCTACTTACTAGATTGGAAATGCCTCCCCATAATCCATATATTGATAGCAGTCTCGGGATTATTGGCAGGAATTCGTTTGACAAAAAGTTCAATAGTCTGGTTCACACTCTTGGGCGCTGTACAGACGTCAGAGTAGCACAGAGGTGCCGAGAATTTGCCACACTGTGCTGTCAGTTCTGCTATTTCGTGATCCATACCATCAATATTAGAGAATACAGAGCAGGGATACCATTTGGACACCTCATGTCTTTTGGAAGCGAAGGCCTGCCAAACACATGTTGCGACAAAGGCTAACAGCTTGAGCTTCATTGCGAATGACTTATAAGATGAAACAAATTTCAAAATGATGAGTTGTTATCATAGAGTCCAATGACTTTTATAGAGCTCGCAAGACAAGTCTCATTATCCGGGCCAAGTCTGCTATTATATGCTCGCTGATTGTATGTAAAGGCCTCAGAAACAA